CGAGGTCATATTCAGAAACCAATGAAACTGAAACCAAATAGCGTTGAAACAGGAAGTGAAGTAAACAGAAAAGAATGACAAAATAACGATCCACATAACAGAACATAAACCTGACAATAAGAATTTTAGGCTATTGTTAGCCTATATGTATAACAGTTCGTTCTGATCCTCGAATCCGACTGGACAAGAGACTTTCTATTGATATTTCCACCTGCGCGCATTCTAGACGGGCTGTCAGTCAGTGCAGTTACAGTGTTGTGCCACAAGGTGGTGGAAAGGGACTGTCTTTGAGTGAGTCTTTAAACTGTTCATTCAACAACACCACGTTCAAAAACGCTGATTCATACAAAGAGAGACATAATGAAAAACGCTGTTGAAATCATTTTAACTTTGAGCGTCACGTTAGAAGGCTCAGCTGACCTGTCGATGCTAAGACAGAGATTTGGCTTTCCTGGGACATAACCTATTTTAACGAATATATATGACTCGCAAGTGATCGCACATGCTCAGTTGATCTCTCTCTTATTCGTTGTCTGTTTAGGCTTGTTAAGTTCAAATCTACGGAGCATCTGTACAAATCATAATGGTACACATTAAGTTATCATTACTAACTTATTTACTATTCAGTCCACATGCACGAAGTGTAAAACGAGAAGCATAACCCCATGAAAAAGAAAACACGCAAAAATCGCGGTTGCTGCGGTTCTTGCATTCCTCTGCGGTTTGCTCGTCAATAGCGCGGTATTGCGATATTGCGGTTATCTCGACAGCCCTACATACAATAAAGTAATATATATAAAGATATGTATAAAGTTAAAAAAATCACAGTTTAAAGTGCAAAAGAATTATAAAGACCAACAAGTAACACTTTACGATAAGATCTCAGTAGTTAACCTTAGTTAATTCATTAGCATTAATAATGAGCAATAGCTAAATTTGCTACATCAGCTACATTTGCATTTTGAGGTTATTAATCTTTGTTTAAAAATACAACTATAATAATGTTAGTTCATTAAATAAAAGAGTTGTAACTTTTGATTTTATCAACATGATATTATATATGGAAATTACCTAAGATTAATGAATGTTTTTAAAATAATTTTTCATTGGCAGTTTATGTTAACTAATGAATTAACTTATGTTAATTAATAGAGCCTTAATGTAAAAGTGTGACCAAACAATAAACAATCAAAACAGTTTCAAACAATATCTAGGGCATGTTGTATTCCAAATTAAATTTTTTGAAAATAAATAGCCTATTAAGTCTAAATATTTAAGTACTTGCCACTGTGATGACCACCACTGCAAATGCAAAAATTGGAATGGCTGTTTAAATAATTTAAACATGTTTTAGAAAGTAGTGCAGCTGCTTTGATTACGGGTTTCCGAGGTAACGGCCTCATTTCTGCTGTTCAGCGCCATCTGCTGTCAGAGAGTGAAAGTGCGCTTACATCCAGAGCTTCTCATCCGTGCTTGTTTATACAGTATCAGAGTTTGCATGCGTTTTTCACGCAGCATACAGCGGTGTTCTGCATTGTGGCCAGTTAATGGGAAAAATACTCTTAAAATCCATAAAAAAAAATTTTTTAAGTGCCCACGATAACATATTCAATACCGTGATATACAGCATTACCGAATACCGGCACATGTCTATATTTCACACACTTTAAGCTGTTTTGTTTTTTCCAAATGTAATAGGATTAGTCCAACGAATCAAATCGTTCGGTTTGTAATTTGTACCGAACCGAAAGCCTCGTACCGAACGGTTCAATGTGAATACGTGTATCGATACACCCCTAATATATATATGTGTGTGTGTGTGTGTGTTTTAGCATTTTTATTTGTAAATGTTTAAATAGTTTTTAATAGAAGATTAATAGTTTTGTCATATTGTGTATAGAGAGAATAGAAGGAAAAATATATTTACAAACCTCTCTAATTCTCAAATTCTTATTTATATAATTATAATCCCCCCCAAAATAATTAATTATTCCCTAATTTTGTACAGTTAAACATATATACTGAGTAAACTTTTTTTTAATTGTGTAGAAGTAGAATTAAGTGTGGCGTTATAATTACAGAGAGTGTTTAGATGCAGGTCTAATTACTTTTGAAAGTAGCACAAAAAAAAAACTATTGTCTCATAAGTGTTGTTGTTTTTTTACATGCAAAGTAAAGTCTGACTGGTCTAATTACTTTTGAAAGTAGCACAAAAAAAACCTCTTGTCTCATAAGTGTTGTTTTTACATGCACAGTAAAGTCTTTTACATGTAAAGTACAGTCTGATCTTTGCCAGATGTCTGTGGGGGAAGAAAAAATAATAATAATTGTTTGACAGTTTTAATGCTGTACCCTCTCTGCCCAAACTGCATTCAATCCAAACCCTTTACTAAAGCACAGACAGACAGAGAGAGAGAGAAAGAGAGGAGGACTGTCCCTCTGGCAGGTGATAACACTAATGAGATGTCCAACCACTCTCCACATCCCATATACAACAGTGACATTTAACCATCTGCGACGTCTCTTCCACTCATGGAGCATTTCAGACTCCCACAAAGCTAAATACCACCGCCTGACATCCGGTGGAGCCAAACCAGAGTCCTGCCACTTCATTAAAGTCAGATAAACATCCCTTACTGGTCCTGTGATGCCCAGATACAAGAAGAGCCACCCAAACCTTCAATCCTCACTATATTGAAAATATGTATATGTGTGTGTGTGTTTTACTGTTTTTGCTTACATTTTCAAAACTTTACACACAAAAATCCAAGAATTGCACACACAAAATGCAAAATGCCTCACAGCTCTTGCAAAATGAAGCACTGTGTGTTGTTCTGCAAAAAGTGTTTTATGAAATTGAAAACTGAGTCAAAGGCCGAAGTCAAAAACTATATACTTTACTATAAAATAGTAAAGATTAAAATTTTAAATATCATTAAAAATACATATTATTTAATCCTTTATTATTATTTTTATTAGTTCTTTATTATTAAATCTAACTTTTATTATCTGTGCCAGTATTTCCAGTGGCCCTGGAAAGTATCAAATCTAACTGGAAGTATCAAACCTAACAGACATCTTTTCAGTTCATGTTTTGACTGCTTTTGACATTTAAAGCAGATTAATCTCAGACAAAACAGACTGTAAAAAGCCAGGATCGGTATGAACAGATTCTTGACTCTTATGGCCCAAAGCAGTCTTTATCTTTATTCGTCAAGCACTGTATGACATGTTCATTTCTTTGTGATTAGAAATGGGAGTGTTTACTTCGATAAGAATGTTATCTTCATGTACAAACGAGTGACATATTGTTACCGCTTTTGTGAAAACCTCCACAAAGCATTAGTACGCTCATAAGATTTTCCAGCTCAGCGATTCGGGCTGCGTTTGGGAATAAAAGCATCACAGAAAGCTGGATGTCGGCGTCTCTCGGGAACTCGCGCTGGACTGTTAAGGTGAATTTTGAGTCGGATTTGTTCTGTATTCAGAGTCTTAACGCTGAGCTGGCAGAAATCCCGTCCTATATCGCTAAACTGATAGCGGGATCTTTTGTGTTGTGCTTTAGCATGTGAAGGGTTATGCTAGCAGAGAATGGAGCTGATTCTCACAGGTGTGCAGGTATGAAAGAGCTTCATGCGTTTGGCCTTTGACATATTATTTTCATACAAACATAAGATAAACGTTCACAGACTGCTGTCAAACATGGGTGTACATTGTGATTTCAATTCTAGTGAATCTTAACGTCAATACTATTAAATGAATATACATCTATTAAAATAATGTTTTAATATTAAATACCAGTTTTCAATGTATATGGATCTATTTAAAGTCCCTGTGAAATAAAAATGAATGTTTTTTGGGTGTTGGTATCAATATGTTAGTCTTAAGGTTATCTATAAGCCAGTGTGTTCCAAAACAGTGACAAAATTCGCATTTAGAAGATATAAGCATTCAAAGCTTGCAGTTCGTCACTTCCGCCAAAATGGATCAATGATTTTTTTTGATGTCACCTCATACTTCAGCTTCTCATCAAATCTTCTGACCAATCAAATGCTCTCTAGAATCCGAAGCGCCCGCCCCCTACACTATAAATAGACGCTGAAGCTGCGGCTGAAATCGGTCACTTGTTCACAGTGTAGCTAGTATTTCCTGTACAGTGAATGTGAATGTACACAATGTAGGCGATAGGGAACGATTCAGACAGTGTACATTTATATTAATAATGTTATATTAATATTAACAGAGTAAATGTAATATTAATGCCAACTTATTCATATGAAAATAATAAATAAATATGCATCTAGTTGAATAAATAAATACTATATAATTATACTACTATACTATTACTATTACTATATAAAGCACTTTGAATTACCATTGTGTATGAAATGTGCTATATTCTGTAAATAAACTTGGCTTGCCTTGCCTATACTATTATATTATACTATTAAAATATTATAAAATATTACTATAATATTGTAAGATTAGTATAAAATTATTATTTATTATTATAAATATTATTATTAAATGAATATACATCTATTTAAAAATATTCCAGTACTAATATTAATATAGGCTAATTAATTGATATAAAATATTAATATTAAACAAATATGTGTCTATTTAAGAAGTATCCCAAATATACATATTTACATAGTAATAATATTAAAACATTAAATTAAAATGATGGCACGCAGCCATTAGTATTTTTTAATATAAGAAAAAAAAAAAAGTTAATCATTATCCGAAGGTGGAATTGTTTTTTGTAAACGGCATTGAGTCTGTGCTGGTGATACTGTAGACAGACTGCTGTTGTAAATTAGTTATTATTGTAGCATTGACTTGGAACAGAAGTGCTGGTACTTTTGACATCACTTTATCCAACTATAACTTAACCTGTTTAGATGTTTGACTTTCTGATATTAAACACATACCAGTGGCTTGCGGTTTTTGGATGGACTCTGTTTTGGACGTTTATCTCCCATGATCCTCTGTGTCTGGTGGGCGAGTAATGAAGTTTTATCATATTGGCTCTCCAGACTCCTGCACTTTTCCTCAGGCCTCGGCCTCTGTTTCTGACCCAATCCGATTGTGTTCAGGGTTTATACGAGTTCCCTTGGTCTTTCTCTGCTAAATGTGTTTAGAAAGTTTCTTCATCCACAGCCGGAGGTTCGTACACAATCTGTGATCTCGCTGCTCTTTCAGCGTAACTGTGTTTGCTTTCATCTGCTCTCCAGTGCCTCTGCTTGGTTTTTACAACAAAACTCTTTCAGATATTGATCTCGCAACTAAACATTGTCATAAGAGCAAGCAGCCAGTAATTAGACTCATTTATGTTTTACTAACATTACAAATTTGCAATCTGATTTGCCAGTTCAGTTTTTTTTTCTTTTGCAGTTTGCAATGACAAAGCAAAAGGAGAAAATATATATATTTAATGAGTTTTTTTCATTTATTCTATATTTTGTACACACACGCACACACACAAACATACACAATATGTAGCATGCATTTATACTTTATTTTATACAGATACATAAATACACAAACTATTCATTTATTCTTCTTCTTATTATTTTTTGTATGTGTATATATGATATATAATACTATATAAAATAAATAATAAATATATGCAATACATTAAATAAATATATATCAAAATTAAGTAATAGATATATGTCTATAATAATATACTGACTTTTAATTTTATTAAAAATTTATTTATTTTTTCAATTAAATAGGTAATTTATATATTAATTAAAAAGCGTTAGTTTATCATTTAAATTCTGCTAAACTGACTCCTCTCACCAAACCACTTCTCTCTGTCTCTCTCACTTTTTTTCCGTTACTCCATTAAGGCCGGTTAGTTGCATGATAAGTTGTTTAGCGTCTGTAGAGGAAGCTGCTGAATAAACACACTCTCTCTCTCTCTCTGTCCTCCTGTGTGGTCTGTGACGGAGACCCTCCTGACCGCTGGGACTCATCAGATCATGAGTGTAGAGTGCAGACCACATTCACAGTGTGCTGTTACAGTGAGGACTGCCACGCTCGAGAGCAGATACTAGAAATTCTCATCATACTGTACATCTGATTACATACAGACGCATGCATAATGCTTTCTTGAGGTCAGCGTTTAATTTAAGTCTAAATATGACAGTATGCAGAATAGAGTACTAGTGTACTGCTTACTTCTATTTCCAATTTTTTGTTTCTTTTAACAGTCTGTATCATGCAGTGATAATATTTAACTTCATGGCCTCACTATGTGGCTGGTTTGTTTAATGTAGGAAATACAGTTATTTTGTATTTGCAATCCATTTTTTATGTTTGTTACATCATGTTCTTTTGGCACTTTTAATTGAACTTGTGGCAGTTCTATGAAATAATGAGTAAGAGATGTTCACAATCATGTGATGATCATGTGTGAATGGAAGCTGAGCACAATGCATTGTGGGATACGGTATTTCACATAGGATGTCTCTTTTTGTTTACTGCACATTTTAGCAATACTTCACCTGAGCATTTTATGCATACTACAGAAATAGTAAGAGTAAAATTATAGTATGCTGTTTTTAACGTTGCCAGTAAATTATGATTATTCTAATTATTCAAGTAAATATATTATTTAAAAAAAACTTTATTGAAGTAGAATGATATAATGCCTAACATGAAATTATTTTCTTCAATTATTATATATTGAGTAAAAATATTAATTTACTTTATTCAATAGGGAAAATTTAAATATAAAAAATGCAATTAATTATTAATAAAATAGAAATATAGTATGCTATTCGTAACATAGCCAGTAAATTATAATTATTTCATTCAATAATTATATATTTATTTAATATTAATTCACTGTAATAATAAATATTTAAATTGCACCTATTTAATAAAGTAGAATTATAGTATGCTATTTTAACAAAGCTAGTAAATCATAATTATTTATTTATGATATTAATTTACTGTAATAAGTAGAATTATAGCTATTATTCTTAACATAGACAGTAAATTAGAATGATTTGCTTAATTATATATTGAGTAAATATCTTAAATAATTTTTTTTGGATGCAGAATGATAGACTGGATTTGATTAATGTAAAAGTATAATATATAGTTAATTAACTATAACTATAATAATATATTCATTAATTAAGATTAGAAATGATTTGCATTGTGCGTATTACATTCTTTCTTAAATATCCATTGATGTGTTCAACGAGACATTATTGTTTTAATATTTATTTTCTAGTTTTGTACAGGAGGATGTTGAGCTGAAGCTGGTTAGATATTCAGTAAGTTCATCAATCTTCTGCTCCGCCGATGATGACTATCACATGAGCAGTCACAGGTGCCGGAGGTTGTTTAAGCAGTGCAGGAGTGGAGAGGAGAGGCGAGGCAAGGGGAAGTACATAAGCTCATTCCCCAGCGGCCTGCAGGCAGCCTTTATCAGCTCCTCCAGGGACGCCCATCCATTCAGGACCAGTCGCTGTGATTTAATTGTGCTTTCTGCATGACTGACTCTCACCTTCACACAGTCTCACCAGCTCAGCACATCCACAAGCTCTGAAAGGACACTGGCAGACGCCAATATAAAGCTGGAGAAACATCTGCACTGACAAAAATCTCATTATTTACATTAAAAAGGTAATTGGAACATTGAGGGGTTTGAAAGAAATACTGCCCTCCTTTAGTAGCTAATTGTCCCGTCTGAAGCAAAGAGGTTCAGAGATTTGCTTCTTTCACATTTGATTCACATGAATATTTTAAATAAATAAATTAAGAAAGAAAATTACAAACATTGCCTTAGAAACTAACTGAAATAGAATAAGGTTATATATCTTAAAAATATTACAATTTATTATTATATATTATATTAATTGTTATATATCTTAAAAATATTACAATTAATATTAAAACTGAAGTTAATATGAATTAAAGCTTAATAGAAATATTAAAGGGTTAGTTCACCCAAAAATTCTGTCATTAATTACTCACCCTCGTGTTGTTCGAAACCCCTAAGACCTTCGTTCATCTTCGGAACACAATTTAAGATATTTTTGATGAAATATGAGGGCTCTCTGACCCTCCCACAGACAGCAAGGTAACTACCACGTTCAAGATCCAGAAAAGTACCAAGTTGATCGACAAAGTAGTCCGTGTGACATCAGTGGTTCAACTGTAAAGTTAAGAAGCTACGAGAATACTTTTTTGTGCAAAGAAAACAAAAATAACGACTTTAGCTGTCTGTGGGAGGGTCAGAGAGTAATTAATGACAGAATTTTCATTTTTGGGTGAACTAACCCTTTAAATAAACCCCAACAATTAATATAAATAACACAAGCACATAACACAATTACTGAAATTTAAACTAAAATTAAATTACTTAATTACTTAAATTAAAATGACTTAAAATAAACATTAAATCAAATAAAATACATTTAAAAAAAAATATATATATATAAACTGTGTGTGTGTGTGTGTGTGTATATATATATATATATATATATATATATATATATATATATTAAAAGGAGTCTGAATCAGACCACTCGGATCTTTCTGTTTGTTTGTTTGTAGACAGAAATATGTGTTGTCTATTTATAGCTTTTGTATTACTTTTTTCTGTACCCAGTCGTTCTTTCATTAGATTTAATTCAGACTGCAAACACTGGGGTAAAGTATAAATCATTTTGTTGCTGCAGATGCAGTAGTGTCGCAGCAGTCGTGCTCCGCTCTATTGTGTGTTTCTGCACGAGAGAGAAAACAGGTCTTGTTGCGTTTGAAATAAAATCACAGGAGAGTCAAACTCAAAACAGCCCAAACCACAGGCCGTTCAATCATCTCACAGCAGAACTTCAGACTCCGTGTGCTTAAAGTGATTCGTCTAAAACACAATCTGTCCGCCGCTGGAGCAGCTACTCAATCTGCCACAAGCGCCTCTGTGTGGAGAAGAAAGCGTTTGCCAGCAGAGATGAAGAGGAGGGAGAGAGTCTGAAGCGAGGTGAAGGTCAGAAGAGAAGGATGTTTTGGGAACACAAGGTAGTTTATGACTGAACTGATGTGAGCTGTCAGTTCTTGTGTGGACGGAAACAAACTAGACTGAAGCATCTCTGCCTGCAAGCTGTTTATTCATCCACATCTCTTCAAAACATAACTTACCCTATTTACTTTCACTTTTATTTTGTTATATTAAATAAAAACATGTGTCTTAGTGTTTTTCATGCATTTATTACAGTTTCCATCACATTTACGCTGTTGTTTTTAAAAGAAGTCTTAGCAGGTTGCATTTATTTGATCAAAATAAGGTTACAAAAATCTGAAATATTATTATAATTTAAAATAATTTCTTTCTTTATGAATATATGGTAAAATGTAATTTATTTCTGTGATTTCCAGCATCATTACGCCAGTCTTCAGTGTCACATGATCTTCAGAAATCAGTATAATATGCTGATTTGCTGCTCAAGAAACATTTCTGATTATTATCAGTGTTTAAAACAGTTGTGCTGCCCAATATTTTTGTGGAAACCGTGATATATTTTATTTTTAGTTTCTTTGATGAATAGAAAGTTCAAAAGAGCAGCATTTATTTGAAATAGAAATCTTTTGTAACATTCTCTTTGTCACTTTTGATCAATTTAATGCATCCTTGATGAGTACAAATATTAATTTCTTTAAAAAAATCACAAACTTTAAATGGTAGTGTGGGAATATGAATCACAACACAATTAATTTCTAATGGATAAAAGTTCTGCTCTCACTTTTTCATATTTATTTACTGCTGTCCTTGGAAATGCATCACATTATGAAAGTAATAAAACAGGTTGTGAAATGCAGTTTCATGTTGACTTTCAGCTGAACTGTAATTGCATCACAGTCTTACTTTATCATTATCAAGCAGATTCATTTATTCCTTGACAACTCCATTCGTCTTATAGAAATTGTTGATCACTCAGGGAACGGCTTCATTTAGCTCTGATGTCAGGCCTTCATTGGCTGGGTTGAGATATATGACGCTAATGAAGTTTTTAATAGTTTGTTATTCCAAAAATAGTTTTCTCCTCTTGCCAAATCCAAGCGGCGTTCTGATGTTTTGTCTGGTAACCTCTGAAGGGCAATAAAGAGTAACATAATGATCCTAATGTAGGAAAAATACTCCATCTCCGCTCGTTATCTGAGGAGTGGCTGCAGAACCTGCAGAAGTCGACTTTCTTCTTTCTTCCTAAAGCTCTTTCTAATCTAATAGACTGAATTAGATAAAGAGGAAATAAACGGCGTCAGTGTAATTGGCCGGCGCTTTTAAAGAAGTCGTGGTTTATGAGGACATTCATGTCTTAATGTTCATGCAGTCTCGCTCAGTCCTGAAGGACATTTTCTTTCTTTTGTTGGAAGTATATTGGTTTTATTCTTCATAATAGATAAAATGATGGAATAATTCATTATAAGTAAATGCACATCACTTTCTGATGGAAGCACATTTCTACCACAGAAAAAAAAAGTAATTGTAAATTTTTACCTCACAAGTCTGACTTCTTTTTTCCCCAGAATTGCAAGATAAATGCAAGATGAATTGTGAGATAAAAAGTCATAATTACTTTTATTTTTTATTTATTTATTTTAATTAGGTGGCAGAATAAAAAAAAAGTGAGATATAAACTCACATATTTGGCTTTTTTTTAATAGTTTTAGTTGTTTTAGTACTTTAGTACAAAAATGAGAAATGTTGATTTTATTTGATTTTTGTCAGTTATTGTTTATTTTCTTTTAAGTATTTGAATGCTGTTTACATTTACATATTTTTGTTCTGTGCTTTAGTAGTTTTTTAATATACATTTCTGTTTAGCTTTATATTTATTTCAGTTTTAGTTTTAATAATTGCAATATTTAAACTTTGACTGATTTTTTTTAAAGAGTCAGTTCATATTTGCATTTCAGGATTTTAATATTTAGGATTTGAATTTACATCTCACATTACTGCATTTATATCTTACAATTCAGACTTGAAAGAAATTTTTTTTTAGTTAGTTGCTTAATTAACTTTTTATTTTCTATGGAATCAAAAATGAAAGGTAACTTCCATTTTTTTATCTCACAATTCTGACGTATTTTTCCCTCACAGTTTTGAGTTTACATTTCACAATTCTTAATTTTCTCCTCAGAATTGTGAATTTATATCTCACAATTTCAATATTTTTTTGTTTTATTCTTATTCTTATTATTAGAATTAGAATGATTAGAATTGTGAGAAAAAAAAGTCTGAATTGAGTAGAGCTGGGTATCGAGTTCGATACTTTTTAGGCACCTACCGAATTGCCTCGATACCATCGAGTATCGAAAAACGTCTCGTTGTTCGGTACCAAATTTTGATACCTAAGAGATTAATATCATCAGCGTCAGTGAGCCAATAAGCCTGCAGCACTAGCTGGTGTGTTCGACTAGAAGAGGTGCGACGCAGATCAATCAGTGTTTGACATCCGCGAAATTCATATTTAAATATGAATCGTTTTGCGGCTTAATATTTACAAATACTAGTGGGAGTGGGCTTACTTGTGTGTGTGTGTGTGTGTGTGTGTGTTTGTGTGTGTGAGCGCGCGCATCGGGCGGAACTCCGCTGTGCGTGATGCAGAGAGTGCGACCATAACGTAGAGACTGAATGACATGCAGTCGTGTAAATAAGATAAATAACATAAGGCTATTTGGTTTGCTTAATGAAATAACAAGGTATAGACATGTTCTATAAGAAAGGTAACTTTAAATGACTTCTGTTGTGATCTGGTGCTATAGAGAAAATTAAATTAAATCAAATGAACTTGACCTTCAAGGGGGGCGGGGGGTGCAGTTGGGGGGTGGGCCGCCCCCCTAAAATAATGGCAGGGGAAACACTGGACTTGAAAGAAAAAAATTATTTAGTTAGTTGCTTAATTAATTAACGTTTTATTTTCTATGGAATCAAAAATGAAAGGTAACTTAAATTTTTTTTCTCACAATTCTGACGTATTTTTTCCTCACAGTTTTGAGTTTACATTTCACAATTCTTAATTTTCTCCTCAGAATTGTGAATTTATATCTCACAACTGCAATATTTTTTTGTTTTATTATTATTATTAGAATTAGAAGGATTAGAATTGTAAGAAAAAAAGTCTGAATTGAGTAGGGCTGGGTATCGAGTTCGATACTTTTTAGGCACCGACCGAATTGCCTCGATACCATCGAGTATCGAAAAACGTCTCGTTGTTCGGTACCAAATTTTGATACCTAAGAGATTAATCTCATCAGCGTCAGTGAGCCAATAAGCCTGCAGCACTAGCTGGTGTGTTCAACTAGAAGAGGTGCGATGCAGATCGATCAGTGTTTGACATCCGCGAAAGCGATTCGAAAGCGCACGGAGCAGTCTGCTCTCTTTAGCTCTCGTGGTACTGTAATACACTGATCAGTCTGCGCAGTCAGTCCACGTCAAGTCGAACACACCTACTAGTTTACACCGGTTACACTCAGAGATGTGGTGCACACGTGAGGCTGTAGTGCGAATGCGTCCCAGCCCCCTTAGATGTAAGGCTACATTTACACTGCTGCATTTATGTTCTAAAATGCGCCTCACTGCACAAGTCTGCGGCGCGTTACTTTTTTTTTTAGATAATGTAATCTTGTTAAAATTGATTTCATAAAATTGGTATCGAAAAAAGTATCGTTCAGGAACCGGTATCGAAGTCAAGGTATCAGTATCGGTATCGATATCGAAAATTTTTGAACGATACCCAGCCCTAGAATTGAGAGATAAAAAGATACAATTACACTTTTTTATCCTGTGACCAAAACTTCCAGCTTCCATAATTTCCTCTCTCTTGTGTGGGACGTGTTTAACATTCAAATCATTCTTGAGTGTTTTTTTTTCTGATGTATTTTGGACATAATTGCAGGAGGCAGGAGGTTAGCGGCCTCCGTTCCCAACCAGCCGTAGAGCAAACACTCATTAACATGTGTTATCGCTGATCAGCAGAAGCTCGACTGAGGCCCTGGACAGCACTAAAAATACAGCCGTGCCGGTGTGTTTGCCAAGACCACCGACTGATGCAGATGCTTCTAATAAAGAGGACAAATCAGCCCTCCACGTCCAAATTACTCCCGCTTACTTGTGCAAAACTCACCACTGTGATGCTGGGACGTTTCTGTGGTGCTCTGAGGTTGTTAATGCATTGCTGTAAGCTTGTTAGAGTGCTCTGGGTGGTTGCTAGCTAATTCTGAGGGGTTGTTAGTGGTTTCTTCTTGTTGGCAGTTTTTTAGTCACTGAAATACATAAGTTTGAAGATTTGATTTTTTTTTTCCTGTTTCAGAAGTATCTTCTGCTCACCAAGACTGCATATATTTAATCAAAAATACTGTAAAAAAAATTAAATATTAAAATTCAAAGTAACTTTTTTCTATTTGAATATATGTTGAACTCTGCTAATGCTCATCAGTAAATCAGTGGAAAATAAATAGAAATCATGATTCTGTCTGAGCTATGCTTTATAAAATGAATATTTTTGTGGAAACCGTGATACATTTGATTTTTCCAGGATTCACAGATGAATAGAAAGTTCAAAAGAACTAGTGTAAATGTAGCCTGATAGATGTATAAACTGAAGACTATTTGAGCTTTATTAAAACTATTTGCACTGATTTATTGTGTTGGTTACATTTTGTTCCTTTGTGCAGTGGCTCAGGAGATGAGTCTTTGAGTTTGTATAAACATCAACAAGCTGAAAAATAAAACCTAAATTTTTTTTTTAGATAATGTAATCTTGTTAAAATTGATTTCATAAAATTGGTATCGAAAAAAGTATCGTTCAGGAACCGGTATCGAAGTCAAGGTATCAGTATCGGTATCGATATCAAAAATTTTTGAACGATACCCAGCCCTAGAATTGAGAGATAAAAAGATACAATTACACTTTTTTATCCTGTGACCAAAACTTCCAGCTTCCATAATTTCCTCTCTCTTGTGTGGGACGTGTTTAACATTCAAAT